TCAATCAGTAAGACCAAGCTCTCATTTCTCAGCAGAAATCAAGTCATAGTAGGAGACTTTAATACACCACTTCAATAAAAGATAAAACAACTGGAAAGAAACTCAACAAAGATGCAGACAAACTATACAATCAACCAACTTGACCTTATAGATATCTGCAGAGCACTTCACCACCAACAACAAAATATACATTCTTTTTCAGCACATATGGAACATTCTCCAGGATTGATCATATGTTAGGCCACAAAGCAAGCCTCAATAAATTTTAAAACATTAAGATACTGCAGAGCATCTTCTCAGATCACAATGCTGTAAAATTAGAAATCAACAATAGGAAGACCAATGTAAAAAGAGCAAACACATGGAAACTGACTAACGCCCTCCTCAAAAACAACTGGGTAATAGAAAAAATGTAAAATGAAGTTAAAAAATTTCTTGAATCAAATGAGAATGAAAACACAACAAACCAAAATCTTTCAGGCACAGCAAAGGCAATGATCAGAGGCCAATTTATAGTAATGCATGCACACATCAAAAAAGAGGAAAGAGCCAAAATCAACACCTTATCCAACATCTCCAACAATTAGAAAAAGAACAGCAAAAAAAAAAAAAAGCCTACAGTCACCAGAAGAAAAGAAAAAATAAAGATTTGAGCAGAAAGAAATGAAACAGAAAATAGAAAGGCAATAGAAAAAATCAACAAGACTAGCAGGTGGTTCTTTGAAAAGACTAATAAAATCATCAAATCACTGACAAACTTAACAAAGGAAAAGAAGATGCAAATAACATGAATAAGAAATGACAGGGGTGATATCACAACAGAACCAATAGAAATAAAAAAAAAAATAATATCAGGATCCTAGGAAGAACTGTACTCCAACAAATTTGAAAACCTAGAAGAAATGGACAGATTTCTAGAAACACACTACTTACCTAAACTAACAAAGACTGAGGTAGAAAACTTGAAAAGACCCATAAAGAATGAATAAATTGAACAGGCAATTAAAAACTTACCAACAAAAAAAGTCCTAGCCCAGACAGTTCTGCTGGAGAATTCTACCAATCATTCAGAGAAGAGCTGACACCAATCCTACTTAAACTATTCCAGAAGAGAGAAAAGGATGGAATCCCCCCAAATTCATTTTATGAAGCAAGCTTAACCTTAATACCAAAACCAGGCAAAGACACCACTAGAAAGGAAAACTACAAACCAATATCCCTCTTGAATATAGATGCAAAAATCTTCAACAAAATCCTAGTCAATAGACTCCAACAAAAAACTCCACCAAAAAAATAACAGATCATGACCAAGTGGGATTAATACCAGCTATCAAGGATGGTTCACTATCAGAAAAACAATCAATGTACTCTATCACATAAGTAAAATAAAGCAAAAGAATTGCATGATCATATCCATCGATGCAGAAAAGGCATTTGATAAAATCCAAAATCCATTCCTGACAAAAACTCACAGAAAAATAGGAAGAGAAAGGAAATTTCTCAATATAATAAAGAACATACATGCAAAACCAACAGCCAACATTATACTCAGTAGAGAGAGACTAAAACCATTCCCCTTTCGAACAAGAACAAGACAAGGATGCCCTCTATCTCCACTTCTATTCAACATCATATTGGAAATCCTAGCCAGGGCGATAAGGCAAGAAAGGGAAATCAAAGGCATCCAAATTGGTAAGGAAAAAGTAAAACTATCCCTATTTGGAGATGACAATATCCTATATATTGAAAACCCAAGAGACTTGGCAAGAAAACTACTGGAACTTATTGAAAGATTTAGCAGAGTGGCAGGCTACAAGATCTACATACAAAAATCATTTGTATTTCACTGCATGGTTTAAAATCAAGAAGGGAGCGTGTCAGGGTTGTTTGTATCCTTTCACCATACTTATTCAATCTGTATGCTGAGCAAATAATCCAAGAAGCTTGACTACATGAAGAAGAACATGGCATCAGGATTGGAGGAAGAATCATTAACAATCTGTGATACGCTTTTGACATAACTTTGCTTGCTGAAAGTGAGGATAACTTGAAGCACTTACTGATGAAGACTGAAGACTAAAGTCTGCAGTATGGATTACACCTCAGTATAAAGAAAACAAAATTCCTCACAACTGGACCTATACACAGCATCAGGATAAGTGGAGAGATTTAAGTTGTCAAAGACTTCATATTACTTTGTTCTACAATCAACACCAATGGAAGCAGCAGTCAAGATATCAGATGACATATTGCATTGGGCAAATCTGTTGCAAAAGACCTCCTTCAAGTGCTGAGGAGCAAAAATGTCTCCTTGAGGACTAAGGTGTGCCTGACACAAGCCATGGGATTTTCAATTGCCTCATATGCATGTGAGAGCTGGATAATGAATAACAAAGACTGTACAAGAGTTGATGCTTTTGAGTTGTGGTGCTGGCGAAGAATGCTAAAAGTACCAGGGGCTACTAAAAGAACTAACAAATCTGTCTGGGAAGAAGTGCAGCAGAAATGCATATTGTAAGTGAGAATGGCCAGACTTCATTTCACCTACTTTGGTCATGTTGTAAGAAGGAACCATTCCCTGGAGAAGGATGTCATGCTTGGTAAGGTGGAGGGTCGACAAAAGAGCAGAAAGCCCTCAATGAGATTGATTGACACAGTGGCTGCAATGATAGGCTCAAATATAGCAAGGATCATGCAGCTGGTGCAGGATTGGACAGTGTTTCATTCTGCTGTGCATGAGGTCACTATGAGTTGGAGATGACTCAACGGCACATAACAACAATAATAACAACAACAACATTCCTCTGTACTAGCAAAGAAGTCTCTGAAGAGGAAATAAGGAAATCAATACCATTTACAATAGCTACCAAAAGTATAAATTACTTGGGAATAAATCTTACCAGGAACACAAGATCTATACAAAGAAACCTACAAAACACTACTTGAAGAAACTATAAGAGAGCTACATAAATGGCAGAACATACCATGCTTATGGATAGGAAGATGGAACATTGTGAAAATGTCAATACTATCTAAAGCAAGCTATACATTCAATGCAATCCCAATCCCAATTTCATCAACATTCTTCAAAGACAAGGAAAAACCAATCACTAATTTTGTATGGAAAAGAAAGGGACCTCAGATAAGTAAAGCTCTACTGAAGAAGAACAAAGTAGGAGGTCTCACACTCCCAGATCTCAAAACCAACTGAACAGCCACAGTTGTCAAAACAGCGTGGTATTGATACAACAATAGACATATAGACCAGTGGGGCAGAATTGAGAACCCACAAATAGATCTATCAACCTATGGTCAGCTGATATTTGACAAAAGGCTGAAATCCATTCAATGGGGAAGAGACAGTCTCTTTAACAAATGGTGCTGGCAAAACTGGATATACATTTGCAGAAAAATGAAACAAGATCCATACCTCACACCATACTCTAGATGGATTGAAGACTTAACTGTGAAACCTAAAACTATAAAGTTCATCAAAGAAAAAGTAGTGGCAAACTTAGGGGTGCTAATTTATGGCATAAATAGACTATCAAGCATAACCCAAGATGTGTAAACAGCAGAAAATAAACTAGATGATTGGGACCTTCTAAAAATTAAATTCTTAGGTGCATCAATAGACTTTTCCAAAAGAGTAAAAAGAGAACCTACAGAATGGGAAAAAATATTCAGCAATGACGTATTGGGCACAGCACTTACCTCTAAAATTTATAGAAAACTCCAATATCTCAACATCAAAAAGAAAAACAATCCAATTTTAAAATGGGCAGAAAATATGAAGAGACATTTCACCAAAGAAGATATTCAGGCAGCCAACAAACACATGAAGAAATGTTCATGATCATTAGCCATCAGAGAGGTGCAAATGAAAACAACCATGAGATACCATCTTACTTCAGTATTAATAGCAAAATTCAATAAGACAGAAAATAACAAATGCTGGCGAGGATGTGGATAGATTGGGACTCTCATACACTGTTGGTGGGACTGTAAAATGGTACTGTGGAAATCAGTATGGTGGCTCCTTAAAAAGTTGGAAATGGAAAAACCATTTGATCCAGGACACAAACAGATATATGCACACCCATATTCATTGCAGCCCTATCTACAATAGCAAAGAGGTGGAAACAACCTAAGTGCCCATCAACCAAAGAATAGATAAACAAACTGTGGTATGCAATGGAATACTATGCAACCCTAAAGAATAATGTAGAATCTGCAAAATAATTCATAAATTGGATGAACTTGAAAGGCATTATGCTGAGTGAAAAGTCAATCACAGATGGACAAACATTGTATTAGTCCACTATTGTAAAAAGTCAAGGAAAGGTCTATACATGGAAGGAAACTTTCTTTGTTGGTTACCAGGGATGGGAGAGGAGGGGAGGGGAAATCCCTAGATAGACTGAAAAAATACACACACACACACACATATGTGTGTGTGTGTTTGCGGGGCATTGAGTTTATGCTGATGTGGTGTGATATTTTGGAAAAGGATAGCAATAATGGTGGCACAACATGAAAAATGTCATCCAAGTCCCTGAGCTATAAATGGGGAAGCTGATATGTTGGCGAATGTCTTGTGTATATTTTCACCACAATAAAACTTTTTAAAAAAAGTAACTTAAAGGTGTTTTTCAGTCTCTTCCAGCTCTAAAAATGCACGGATCAAAGCTGCTAAAAATAAATAATTTAAAATTTTACTCTGTGTATGTTTCTCAGTGAAAAGAGGAAGGACTAGACAATAGTTTATACTCCAAACCAAAAACCAAACTCACTGCCGTCGACTCGGTGAACTTTAAATAATGTGCAGTGTTAAGTACAATACCATCAAGGCGTTTTCGCGTTTTGTCGCTGAAAACAACAATCAAGTTCCAGGGAGGCATTTGCCCTGCAGAGGGAACTCTGGGGTAGTCAGGTCTGCTCAGCCCCCAGGCGCTTCCGTTGGAATATAAAGAGCAGTTTTTCGAGGAACTGCGTCCCGTTCAACTGGGTACCCAGCGGAATTTGTAACCCCCATTGGCTGTCCGAATGGTGAAAGCTTTGCCCTGGGGGAAGGCGAGCGTACGGATGGTGCTGTGACTGCGGATGGGAGTACTGAAAGAGCCGCCCTCCTCCAGCTCGCTGTGGCTCAGGTTCAGCGCGCGCTGGCTGCAGTCAGTACGCAGCCCCCGAAAGGCCCCGTGCAAATTCCCGGGCCTGCCGTCCGTGTTCGCGGGCTCTGGCTGCAGCCGGGGCCGCTTAGGGTCGTGGTTCTGCAGGGCTTCATCACAGCGCTCGGAAATTTCTCTCAGGATGGCGTCCACTTCGGCGCAATCCTGGCCAGCAACGCTGAACAGCTCCTCTAGACTCCTTTTGGCCGTCGCCTTGAGCATGAAAGGCTCTGCTGCCGCCCGGCATTCCCGGGACTGAGTAATCATCAGTTTCTGAGAAAGACGGGGAAGGGGAGCTTTGAGGGGTGCAACGGCGGGACCTAGTGGCATGCAGATGCGCAAAGGCCACTCAAGCACACAGCGTACGGCGCGAATTCCGCGCGGTTGAAGCGCCCCTGGTGGAGGCTCAGCGAACTCTCATTCACCGCGCTTCTCCCTAGCCGCTCTCTACCCCCGCCGGTCTGGTTCCCAAAACTGGCAGTGCAGTACAGGGTGCATTGAAATAGTTGCCACGTCCGCATGCCCGCGCCCCACTTACATCCAGTACTGAGGCCAAGTGCCGGGTCCGGCTGGCTAGTTCCTTCAATTGCACGTTCCGCTCTTTAAGCGAGGCAATCTCCTCCTGCTTCTGGGTCAGCGTCACGTGCAGCTGCAGGGAAAGGAGACCCACATATTCTCCTGTAGGCCACGGTGCTCGGTCTTGTCTGCACATTCTGCGTGAAATAAACTCAGACCCTAACGCCTCGTCAGGAACTAGGGACCCAAGAGCATTTACACAGGTGTGAATAATCAATCTTCTTCGCTTGACCTTTTTTTTTTTTTTTTAACAAATCATTTCAACAAAGCGTATATTAATTAATCCTGTTGGGCAATAGGTAGATCTAGTTTCTAATCCACTCTGTCGCTTTGGATATGAAGTTCAATCTTCTGGTGCCTCTTTTCCTTAGCTGTAAAATGGGGCTGATAAGAGTACCCACCTCTATAGTTGGTTGTGCATATTAAATGAGAGTGAATATTAAATGAGAAAAGAAATTGATAAGCACAATGACAGGCACATAGAAAAAAAATATCGGCAGCCCTATGAAAAATCCGGTGGGATAGGATTACGTTTTCCCTTTTAGTGCAATGGAAACTGAGGTTGAGTCATGGGAGTAACAACAGCTATGGGGACCACTGGTTCTGACGTCCACAAAGTCGCATCCACCCTCGGGCGGCCAGGGTGATACCCGATACCGCTCATCCCTTTGCACCCGCCCAAGGATTCCTGGCTGCCTACTTGGTTATTTTCCACGAGCGCGTCCCCCAACGCCCTCTGATTCTGGTTCGCCACCTCCTTCCAGTACTGCTCGGGTTGGGTCACGTCTGGAGGGCGCAGCGGCGGCGAGTGCAGAGTCCGCAGGTCTGTCTGCGGAGAGAGGCTGGCTCCGAACGGCGACACATCACAGGGCGAGAAAGGGAAGTCTCCGCCGGCCAAGGGGGGTGACATTAAAGAGGACGAGTCTGGGGGAATAACCTGAGCTGGGTTTACAGCCTCACACCTGTGCCCTGCGTCAGGGGTGAAATGCCAAGCCAGGTGTAGGGTTTACGGGGAGATGTTTCTTTATCGAATGGAGTACACCTCACTCCAAGAATCTACTGTCCCCAGGCCCTCCCTGATATCCTGAACACACACAGCAGGCACTCAGTTGTCTGTTGATCTGAACTGAACTGACTCCTCACGGTGGCGAGGGCAAATTTGCATGGGACTGAAAGAGTTACACCGGGCTTTCGCTCTGTACACACTCTCGTCATTCCACCGCTCCTCTACCGCTTCACAGCTTGCGCTCCCTCTCCTACCAAGAACGCTACAGATCAGGCACTTCATCTCCTTTAGGAAGGGGGGTGGAGAAGGGAGCAGTTGTCCCTAACTATGAAAGAGCCTGACCGTTTGAGTTGTTGCCAGCAAGTCGTTGACAGATTCTGGTGTACTGCTCCAGGGCCACAAGATCTGTTTTAGGAGGTGTGGTACCCCAGCTGTTGTTTAACTGCAAGACTGCACTTGCCTGCAATTAGATCGTCCACCGTGTCTCTGAAATCCTGCAGATCGACAAAATCCGGTTCTGGTTCCAGTGAATGGTTCTGAAATAAACCAGAGGTGTAAACCAGTTAATGTCGAGTTTGGCAGGTGCCGAACACATGCTAGCCGGACAGATGTCCTCCTGGGATGAGCGGCACGTCTGCACGCACTCGCGTCCGCAGCTGAGTCTCATACTTCCAAATCAAAGTTCCCTCTCTGACAGGGAACCCAGCAGGCTTCCACTGCCATGGTGGCAAGGGCATTCACGGAGCCCGGACCAGGTCCGTTAAGCTCCAGTTCCCGGCTCCCGAAGGGCGCCGAGACTGTGCGAGGCTCGGTGTCCCAAGTTCGTCTTTCTGTGCCCCATCTCATTGGCTGGTCACAAGCCAACCAGCAACCTCTGTGCCGCCCAGAGCGCTCCTGACAAGCCGACGGAACTTTAACCCAGACTCACCGCTAACAGGCTGAGGTGACTGCGCTCTTAGAACAAGAGCGAATACAAAAACACCTGTCTTTCCTCCCAAGCCCGGACAGAATGTGGGGTCCCCTAAATTAGTAACATGCTTCCCGCTGAGGTGCGCTCAGAAAGGAAAGCTCTCATTTGAGAGATCAGGGATGCTTTGGAAAGTGGTTCGGTTTAGCATGCAACAAGGATGGCCCCTTCTGCTCTTTTCAGGTTCTCAAAAAGGCAGAGCTGATTTTTCTCTACAGTCTGATGAGTCTCCAGCATCTTGAACTGGACACTTTCCCCTGGGTTCCTTCCTGCAATGCATCTGGGGTGCATGCAAATAGGAAGGAAACGTTAAGCGGTTGGCAGCCCAGGAAACTTTTTATTCCCTTAATTTGTGGATATTTACAGTTGATAAACCCTTTTACGTAGAATCTCTCGTTAATCCTCCCATCAGTCCTGCGAAGTTGGCAGGGCTAGGAAGTAATTCCTTTTCCTTGGACGAAGAATCTGAAACTTAAGAGAAGTTGAGCTGTCCAAGTAACCCAGCTAGGAAATGGTGGAATCACAGCTCCTGTGCAAGAAGACTAGTGCCTGTTCCAGTCCTCTTAATATCTCATTGTTTCTAGTGTTTAACTCACATTGAAGAAAGCCAGGCTTCCACTGAAGACAACACTGGGAAGAGGAAGAATCCCCCAAAGGACAAAGTGTGAGGGATGCACCCAGTGCTTCCATCAAAAATATCTATCCTACTGATTTCAGTGACATCCCACTATTACCCATTCATTTCTTTGCATTAATTATACTCCTTTTCTAGCACCCCTTCTGTGCTATTCAAATATTTCTGAGCACAGGAACTTATTCGGACTCAAGTATATCAGTTTTCCATGGGGATGAGAGATTGAAGCATGGAGGCCCCTGGCACCCATTGAGAACTGAGGCTATTGGGGCAAATGGTTTAGAAAGCAAGGGCTGTGGGTGCCGGGCAATTCATGAAGCACATGTTTGACCCCGGCTGAAGAGGTCAGAAATGGGACTCATCCTCCACGGGCTGAAGATCTACCTCAGAAGGGATCTGGGAAAAGTCTAAGAGGAGGCAGGCCCACTCAGAAACTGGCCCCCAGAAAATGTTTCCTCCTATACTATACCCCCACCCCCCCCCCCCCACCCCTGTACACATCCTGGACCTCAAACACTTCTGGAGCACTTCCTCCCTCCATCCACCTTCTTCAGCAGGCAAAACCAAAAACCAAACTCATTGCCACAACCCCTGTTGGGTTTCTGAGGCTGTAAATCTTTACAGAAGCAGGGAGAAGACTGCACTGCCTCATCTTTATTGTGCAGAGTGGCTGGTGTGTTAGAACCACCAACCTTTTGTTTAGCAGCCAAACGCCCTAACCATGGCTCCTTCTTCAGCAGACAAGCAGGGGTTTCTCCATATGATATTCCCCTAAGGGCTTCTGTCCCTGTCCACCAGTTCTGGCTTCCCCAGGAAAAATCCTGGGCCTTTTGTTCCATCTGCTGTGAGCTCTATCCTTGAAACTTTGAATTCTGCTTTCCCAACTAGATAAAAATCTGACACTTCCTTAACTACACAGCAAAAGTGATTAGCACAGAGAGCATGATGTGAAATATAAATTTTAAGTCAACATTCACAAGAGTCTGCTTGGTTTTTGCTACTTGCAAAATAAACATGTTGGAGTGAGGGAGTGAACTAGGCCCTGGGGTCAGGTGAAACATGTGCAGGCATCATCTTTCCTTATTTGAACCTCCAGACCTAAAAAGAACAGTAAAATGGCTTCTGTAGGGCAATACCCACTCCCACCTCCTGCTCTTACAATCTCTGCTCTCAGCAGACACCTATCCTGACTCTCTATGGGGTCTACCTCGAGGTTCTAAGAGGCCCTGGACCCTGGAAAGACTTGGAAGCTTTGCTCTATCACCAACCCAGCTGAAGGAGGTGGTCACAGCTTCTGGAGAGTTCTGTGCTGGGCCTGGCCCTAGGACCTCCTGGCCCAGCACCTGCTGCCAGGAAGGTGGAGCTGACACTCTTCCTGTGGGTTGCTAAGACCTCCTGTCCTTCTGGGTACTCCATATCCCACAGATGAGCCAGGCTTTTGGCCCACCCAGGTACCTGTGCTGAGTGGGTCCATGCTCTGCCTGGGATCATCACGAGCCCTGCCAAGCAGTAGAAGAGGAATGAAAGTAAGAAGTTAAGTTTTGCAAAAAAAGAAAAAATTGCTCCATGAGTGAGGATAAGTGACACTGAGCCTTTGGAAGAGGGAGAAGCGGGAGCTTTATACTTTTTTTTTTTCCCCCTTCAAAGTGCCCAGGTGCTGAGGAGTTGTCTCTGCAGGGGAAGAGCGTTTTCTGTCCGGTTTTTCCAGAGTCTTTCTCCCGCTTTCCTCTTCCCCAAATGCAAACTATCTTCCTCCTTTCCAGTCTGGAGCAAGAAGTTAACCATCGGCCTCCACTCTCCTTCGATGCTCACGGAGTGAAAATGGTTAGTGGATAGCCGGGAGGAAGGAGCTGGGGAAAAAGATAGGACAGGCGTCAGATGCCCAGCGCCCAACCTTGCTCCCACCTGCAATCTCCTCGTCTCAGCTCCAGGGGATGGCTAGGAAGAGGAATCCTACCTTCCCAATTAGACAAAAATCTGGCACTTCTCTAACTACAACTACGCAGAGAAGCCTTCCAGGGGAACCTCCGTCCTGAGTTGGTCTGAAGAGCTCTGGGAAAACGGCCGGTGTAACATACTAGGATGGAGGAGGAATTTCGGATCTCGAAGGATCAGGTTCTCTCTTGACGCCTCCCTTGCCAGCCGAGTATGCCTGCGCTCCCCTCGGCAGCCGAGCGTAAACCAACCCACCGCTGCAGAATCCGGGCTTGAGCTGCGTAAGGCGGCTAGCGCCAGGAAGGAAGGAGAGGTACCTGCAAGGCGGCGAGGTTACCACTAGGCGGAGCCTCGGACCCGAGTAGCGAGGAGCAGTCTGCGAGGTCCTGCAGGTCTATGGTGGTGAGGGCTGCGCGGGGAGACCGGGAGACACGCGCCCGGAGAACCCTGAGTAACTCGGCGAGTGTTCGCCACTGGGCCCCGCCAGGGCGTCAGAGCCGGAAGGAGAGAAGCTCCTCCCAGGTGCACGCACCGCACCCACCCAGCGCAGGGAACCCCAGGAGACACGCAAGGACCACGGGCCTCACCTGGGAGCTCAGCAGGCTCCGCATGCGTGGGATCTTCGTACACGGATACCGGGCTGCCGCTGCTACCCGGAGGGAAGAACTTCCGCGGAGGAGCGAACTAGTAGGACACAGAGACAGTGAGCATGGGTCAGCCAGCGGCCTGGCTCGCAGACCCCGCCCGGCCCGGTGCCGGCCCCACCTTCCTCTCCAACTTCCCGGGCTTGCCCAGGGGCCGGCCGGGCAGCTCGAGCATTCGGTTGGGGCAGATGCTGTCGAAGGCCCGGCGTCCCGCCGCACCGCCGCCGCACGCCTGCATCCTGCCTCCCGGCGACCTTCGGCCAGGGAGCCCCGGGCCGGGCTGAGGATGCAGGCTCAGAGGTCGGGGAAAGCGTGTGGCCCGGGAGGAACCGAGCTGCGGCAGGAGCGCAGGGAGGAGCGCGGGAGGGGTGGCTCGCGCCGGAGCGCCAGCCATGGCGCCTTCAGCCCGGGACAATCTGCATCCGGACGTAGGCGTTAAACCCAACCTGGCAACTCAGCTTCCCCCGGGAGCCGCGAGCGCGGGGTCCCAGCCCGCGAGCGCCCTTTCGGCGAGAGTTGGCGCCGCCGCCTCCCAACCGCGCCAGCGGGAAGGCTGGGAAGGAGGGGCGGACAAGTCCCACCCGTCCCCAGTACTGGGTACCGCCTTCTCCCTCGTCCGCAGCCGATATGGAAAAGTTCATGATTTTTACATCCTCTTCCCACCTCAGTTGCTAAGCACTAAACCATCGAATGACACTTCGCCAAAGTTAGATTCCGGCGTTTGCTCCCTCTTCTCTGCAGAATTGGGTGGGGGTGTAGGGTTCTGGAAGGAGCTCTGGTGGCGCAGTGCCTAAGGCATTTGACTGCTAACCAGAAGGTTGGTGGTTCAAACCCACCAGCCACTCCGCGGAAGGAAGACTGGGCAATCTACTTCCGTGAAGATTTACCTCCCTGGAAACCCAGTAGGGGTCGCTGTGAGTCTGAATCTACTTGATGGCAGTGTTTGGTTGGTTGGTTGTTTTTTGGAGTTTTGTTTTTGTTTTTGTTTTTCGTTCGTAGGGTTCTGGCAGGGACTCCCCAGAGCAGGCCCGGATTACAGAAGCCCTTCCCCCAAACCTGGAGAGCACTCCCTCCTTTACGTCGCAGGCGCCCTCTTAATCGCGCTTGTCCTTCTGTTGATGTCCTGCCCCAGCGGTGCCGTCCCCGCAGTTTCCCGAGCAGCAGCGCCTGAACAGTCTTTAAAAGGGAATCAACAAGAAAGGGGGAAAAAAAAAAAAAAGACATCCACGAACCCTCCTCCAATTTCTGACAATTCTAAGTGTGCAGTCCCAAATCTAAAACCCTGGTCTCCAAGTCTCTCTCCTGGTGGCCTCAGCTGTGCATCCTAATGTTCCTAGCGCTAACCCGCTCTCTGCACAGCTCGCCTCGCTTGCTCTGCTGTAGTCTCTGCTGCCCTTTCCGAGCTCAAAGCCTCTTCCAGGAAGTGGCATCTTCAGATTCTTGGAGAAGGGAGCCCTCTCTCGGGATCCCTCTCCTACTCTCATTTCTAGTTGAACAATCATCTGTATTTAGAATCTTTGTATCCTCTCTCCTATTGGGCACCTTGTTTGCACCTCTTCTTTCTTTCTCACTGCCTTGGAGTCGGATCCAACTCGAAGCAACTCCTCCTTGGGTTTCTGAGGTGGTATCTCTACGGAAGTAGATTGCCCAAACTTCCTTCCGAGGATGGGTGGTGGGTTTGAACCACAGCCTTCTGGTTAGTAGTCAAATGCCTTAGGCACTACGCCACCAGAGCTCCCTTGTTTGCAACTAGCTTTCTTGTTTGCTACTAGTGAAGATCCTTTCTTGAATTGCCACCATCCCTTTTTATCTGCATTCATTATCTGGGTTAAGAGACTAGATAAGCCTAACAGCAATGGGGGTGACCCAATGGTAGAGCTGGAATAGACTTAGGGACCCTCGGACCAATTTTACAAGTACAGGAAATGATGGGATGAGGTTGGCCAGCTAGAGTTGGTGTGGTATTGCTGATGGTGATGCTCTGGCTTTAGGATCAGACTCGCTGAGAGTGGGAACCTGGTTTCAGCCATGACCAGATCGCTGAGCCCCAGTTCATCAGGAAAAACAGTAATATTGACTTCAATAGAGTTGCTGAAGATATTTATGTAAGGTGATTGGTGCTTGGTGTGGATAAATGAACACTGTGCATTTCCACCCTCTAGCTGGTGAGTAGTTCAGCCACTACCCCTTTCACCCCTTACCCCCATCCTTACCCACTTCCCAGTCTGTGAATGAGCAGGGCAGCTCTTGGCTGAGTTTTGGGGGATTTCTACATGTGGTGATCATTATGTGTTTTCCGGAAGAGGCTCATTTCTCAAATACTCATTAATGAGTCCCTACATGGGGCAGAAAAACATGGGCATTGTACATATGCATATACATACTCATAAACAATAGATTATTTGTGACAGCATGAACTGGAACAGCAGATAATCAGCATGATTATAAGACTCTCTAGTGTGGATGATTCTGGAACCAAATCACTCCTATCCATCTTGGCTGAATGATGGAGTAAACACTGGTGAAGAAAATTTCTCCCCGAGTCACTCTTTTGCAGAAGGGCCAGTCTCCCCCCACCCCACCCTCCAGCCAGGCTGAGCACTCTAGATATTTTGGGGCTTGGAACAGCAATATGATATATAGGATCTTTCTTCTCCAATCAATAGAGAGTAATCATAGAACAGCTTTCCTCCAGCCAGCTTGGTGATCCCCACTGCCCTCTCCCTGAGCAGAATTTAAAATTCCTGGAGAAGTTAGCATCGTACTTCTGGAGAGAAGAGGATTCTGAGGGGCCCTGAGTAAGGCACCCCAGGCTCTGGCGAGCATTTGGAGGATGCATGTGCAGAGAAATCGAAGGGTCTCTCAATTTGCTTTGAATTTGTTTGCTTTTTATTTGTTTGTAGTTGTTGCACATTTCAATTTATCCTAAATTCAATGGGACATCACTTTTCCCCCCTCAAAAGTTTTTTAAAAAATATTTTTATATTATAATATTTATATTATTATTAGATTTCTTTCCATATTTCTTGAAGTCTTGCTATGTGCCAGGAACAGTACTGGGTGATTGGAAAACATTTCTTTGTTCTATAACCAAGCCTGTGAGGTAGGTGATACTGTTATTCCCATTTTACAGATGATATTTAGGCATAGAGATGTGACTTGCTTACGGCCACACAGCATAGGCTTCAGAGCCTGCTTGCCCTGATATCAGTTGTAAGGCTCAGGTTAAGAAATTTACCAGAAGTAAGGAGCTCTGGTAGCATAGTGCTTAGGGCATTTCCCTGATATCAGTTGTAAGGCTCAGGTTAAGAAATTTACCAGAAGTAAGGAGCTCTGGTAGCATAGTGCTTAGGGCATTTGACTGCTAGCCAAAGACCGGCGGTTCAAACCCACCAGCCACTCCTCAGAAGGAAGACTGGGTAATCTACTTCTGTAGAGATACCACCTCAGAAACCCAAGGAGGGGTTGCTGTAAGTCTTATCCCACTCAATTGCAGTGAGCTGAGTTTTGAGGGTGGTTAACTTGTCAGAACTCTACCTCTGGAAGAGATCATTATTTTTATTTTTATTGTGATTTGGGTGAAAGTTTATAGAGCAAATTCATTTTCCATACAACAGTTCATACATATTTTGTCTCAAGACATTGATTGCAATTTCCCACAATGTAACAGCCCTCTTCCAACTTCCTCCCCATGGTTCTCGTCCCAGTGTCCTTCCCTCCCTAGCCTGTCTCCCCACTGCCACCCATCTCTCTGTGCAAACACTGCTCTCAGTTCTCCCTTGATTGACTGCTCCAAGTAGTGTATCTATACCTGAGGTAAATATTCAGTACTTATGCCGGTCTTTTTATTTGGCTGGAAGCCACAGGCATAAGTTCAATTAAGAAGTAAATTATTAATGACAGTGTCTAGAAATCTAAGTCCGGGAAGTCTAACGGAATGGTTAAAAGCACTGCTATGGACTCATTGCCTGCCTTCAAATCCTGCTTCCTCAGCTGTTAGCTCTAATGTCCTCTTCTGAAAAATGGGATAATCTTCATAGAATCGTTGGGAAGACCAAGATAATACTGCACATAGCCTGACAGTAGCTGGCATATGGTAAACACTCAACAACCATTATCAGTGTTATGGGGTTCACATGTAGGTGTAAGGCAAGTATAAACCTTTGAACCATGTGATTTCAGGGTGAGGGAGCTCAATGTGAAACGGTCATAACTACCTACAAAACCCTTCATTTCCAACAGCTGTTATATGCATGCAGAATTCTCTGTACTGGATCTCTCTTGCTTCCTCCTCCGGTAGCGCACCTATGGTGCTCCCTTCCTGACGCTTCCAAGTTGCTTATCAGCTAAACCAGTGACCTGGCCCATCTGGACGCCGTCAACGGCAACGGGCACTAGCCGGCAACCTTCTGACCTCTGGAAGGTGCAATTCTCAGCCTTCTAACGCAAAGGCCACGGAACCCAGGCCTCGTCACTGGAACCACCTTATCAAGGACCTCAACTGACCCGGGGCGTTCTGGCAGAGATGCCAACTACAAAGCGGACCCTGTGTAGGAACTTCTAATGTTACTGACCACCCTCTTCCTAGTTTGACTTCACCCGTCCCTTCCCGGCGTACAGACGCGCTCAATAGCAATATTCACACAAACAACGTAGGACAGCCTGTTTATTTGGGGGAGAGCTTTGCCTCTCTCACGTGCTCTCAGCAAAATAAATAAACGAGACGCTGCTATCCCTACACTATTTACAACCTGTAAGATAGCCTGCCAACCAAACAGAAGGAGCCCTGAGCCTTCTCTGTGGACCAATAGTGCACTCTTCCAAAGTAATGGGCGCGGTCCAGCACCCAGGCTGGGAAAGCTTCATTTCAACATGGGGGACGGGCTGCACTTCTCGCAGATCTGGAGGGGCAGGATGTGAGTCAGGGAAGCCTCGTTGATAGTCACCAGAAGCTGCAGCTTTTCCAGGCAGTCCTGCAGCGCCGCCTCGGGGTGCCCGCCCAGGAGCAGGTCCACTGGGCGCGAGAGCCGCAGCATGCGGTCCGCCAGCGCCAGGCAGCAGATGGCCAGCAGGGAGGGGGCGTAACTAGTGAAGGCATAGTCCGCTAGGCTCAGCTCCGCCAACCCCTGCGCCAGCGCTTGTGCCTCCAGGGCTTCGGAGGCTTCCGCTTGCCCAGCCTCCACGCGCGCGTGAGTGTAATGCTCCAGGAAGAAGTTGATGGTGGGCGCACCCAGGCTGAAGTGCAGCTTGTGCAGCACGATGCATTCGAGGTTACAGAGCTGTTGCCGGGAGAAGGCGCCGCAGCACAGGGCCAGGAGCTGCTTCACGCGCGGCGGGTGCACCTCCACCTGCAACACGGTGCACTTACAGCGTTGCAGCACAGCTTTAAGGACACGCGAAACAGCCCAGCCTCAAACCCCTAGAAGAATAGTGACTCTCCCACCCCTTCCTGCGGGACTGCCCTGGCTCCGCCTCTCTACTTCTAATCTTCTTCACCTGAGGCGTACTTCCAAGCCCAGTTTAATTACAGTCGTGCTAAAAAAAAAAAAAAAAAAAAAAGTTTGGGAAAATCTGAAGGGTTTTTTGGAGCCCAGAATAGTGGGCGTTACAAAACGCTATTTGAGGCTATTTCTTTATAAGCTATGTGAAAGAACTGTTTGTGGGAGAATTATGAAATTAAGGATGTAGGATGTATAAACTTGCAAACGTCTGCCAGAATGGATTCTGGGAATCCAGCAATGCGCGCTGGACTAGCGCACCGCTAGAGTGTGGCCAGGGGTTTGGCTGTGCCCAGGCGCCCCTCGAAGTACCTGCTTGCAAGCGATGAGCAGGGATGTGACTCCAAGCAACTGGAAGCAGTCTGCAGCCACCGGCGTGGTGGTGAGGAACCGGTCCAGAGTGTTCACCGTCAAGCACAGCGACTCGAAAGAGAGGCCGAACTGGCGATGCACAGGGATCAGCCAGCTAAGCAGCTTACAGCGGGATTCGGCGGTCACCTGCCGGAAGGAAGTAGGGAGGTGCGACAGCTGAGTTTAGGGCCGCGGGAAGAGTAGCGATAGGACAGAGCAGACCCAGACAACCTCCCAGGAAGAAGGAAGGAAAAGCTAGATGCAATGGGAACTCAGAAAGACTTAGGCAGCGCTGCAACCGGAAGAGCGCTGGCGGAGCTGGGACGCCAGAATGCGTGTCTGGCGCTGTGCTGAGCGCTGTACAC